TAGTCTCATCATGGGGAATAACTACCACCAGCTACCCAGCCACTCAACCAGGCCCAGCCAAGCTGACACACAAACATCACCACCACAGGGGTGAACATGATTATATAGGGAAATGGGAAGGAGATTGAAGATCCCTTGGACTGTCAGGAATGTCTTTGTTCTTCTCTTCCCTGGTTACTCCAGACTCAGGGTCTCTCTTCCCAGGATCCTCTTGCTTCACAGGTTACAGTTCTCAACCGAACGCAGTTGTGGGAAAGGGTTATGCTTAGAAGAATACATAATTGAAAACAACCAACCTGAAGAATTCAGCATATAAAGAGGCTGGCTATTCTATTTACTTAAGAAAGCAAAAGGGAGGGGAAAATAGCAAGTTAGTCACAATGATTAGCGTCTACTTTAATCATGCCTGTTAGTCTGTTGAAGTTTTGTAATTTTCAGTGAGAGGCCCCTTCAGCCTTCCACTTCATCCTGCCACAATGTGGCCTCAGGGCTGTCTTTTAGATCTGGGATCAGCAGCGCAGGAAGTGAGCAGGCTGGTTGAGAGGTGAGAGAAGAGAAAGGAAGGGAAGGAGGCCAGGGAGGCGAGAGAGGGAAGGAGAAGAGGGGAAGAGAGGGCAGGGGCACTTTTCTTGGAGTAGAGGCCCCCCGGAGGGAGGAGGGCAAGGAGGGAATAGGATAGGGGTAAGGGCATCTTCCAGACAGTGGCTCAGGACTCATTGTTCCAAAAACACCCTGACTTGGCACCACGTGCAGGGAGTAGGAGGGATCCCCAAGATCTTCAAAGATAAAGGGCCTTTAGATGGTGCCCGGCTACCACTGTCAACCACTTGGAGGGGGATCTATGTAGGAGATCCTGGATAGAGTGGGAGAACAATGTGGAACAAAACTCAAAATCATTGAAAAAAAAAAAAAAGGGGGACCAGTTTTGCTGGTCTGATAGAGCCTGATGGAACCACTGAGAGTATGGCCCCTTCAGGTCTGGAATTGAACCCACTCTTGTGGCTTCCAGCCAAACAAAAACCAGCCATATGAGGTGAACATTTACACTAGGTAGATACACTCCTCGAAGAGATCAATCATGGAGAATAGAAGGGCTATGTATGTACAGGGAGACAGCTCAGGGGGCGGGAGTGCATGGAGGGAAGGACACGGAGGAGGGAACTATGGGGAGGAAGTTGGGGGGAGCTGTTGTATTGGAGGAAATTGCAGTCAATGTCATGAGACAAAGTGTATGTGAACTGCTGTATGGAAAGTTAATTTGCACTGTAAACTTTCACCAAATCACAATTAAAAAAAAAAAAAAAGATAAAGGGCCTTTGGGAGCCACAGCCTAGCTCAGGGTCAGCACAGGGCTTGGCACCATGTAAGAGCTCGATAAATATGGGCTCTTAATTTTTATGGCATTGCTTATCCTAGGACTCCCTCATTATCACCTCAAAACTCTTATCTGCACCCCCCAACGTTAAGATTTCACACTAACTTGACTTGAGACTATGCCTGAAAGTCCCCCATTGTTGGCCCTTTGACAGTTTGTCTTGAAATCCCACCTCAAGGAGATGCCCAGAGGTCCCCCACTAACTTCCTCTCTGAGGAACAATTGCTGCTAACCCAAGTTGCACAGGAAGGAGGTGTCTCACCACCCCCCTCTTCGTTCTGAGAACAAAGGAAGCCAGTTGCGTTAACACTTCTGATGGGTTCATTTGGGTGCCGCAGTGCAGCTAAGGTCCGCCCTGTCAGAGATTCACCAGCACCCACTGCTTCCCTGGGCCTCCTGGGCCAGCACCTGCCCGGGTAGCACCTCCCACCGTACACCTCCCAGCGTACCCCTGGCCACAGTGAAGCCCCTGACTTCTGTAGTTTAACTTGCCGTATCCATTGCCCCAGGAGGGCCTCCCAGGACACCTTCTCTTTGGAAGGCTGGCCACCATGATGCCCCAGGGGCCAGTGCCCTGGGCCTACTGTTCTCTGTTCAGCCTGCTCCTGCTGGTCTGCTGTCTGCTGTTCCCAGGTGAGGGCCTGGGACTGGGGACTTGTAGGTTGGGGGTAAGGAATAGAGAAAGCACAGCTGTCCACGTCCTGCTGCCCTGGCTGCTGTGTGCTCTTCCTGGAACTTAAATCTGACGGGAGTTCCCCCATGTCCTCGGGAGAAAGTCACAGCTCCTTAACTTGGCCTGGTCCCTTTGTGTGGCTTCTGTTACACATACAACGTACTCTGTGAGCCATGAGGACCCCTGTCCTTTGCCTATGCTATTCCCTCTGCCAGGAGCACACTTCCCTTCCACTTGGCTAACTTCTGTTCACCTTTCACAACTGTCTGTAGGCCTCCCCTCCTCCAGGAAGTCTTCCCTAGGCCACCCTATCCTTTAGGTTGGATCTGGGCCTTTCTCAGAATTTTACCTGTCTTTGGTCACCTGTCTTCCCCCCTGGACTGGGAACACCGGGAGGGCAAGCACTATGACTAAGCTGCTCCCTCTCACTTCCCCACATGAAGGCAGGGCCTTTAGAGGGATGGGCTGGGGGACATGCGAACAGCCAGAAGAGCTTCCTCACGCCCTGCAGGTACCCAGGGGCAGGCATCGCCACTGCGCTTAGAGCCTCAGGACCCAGTGGTGCCCACTGGAGGGTCGCTCTTGGTGAACTGCAGTGCCGACTGCCCCAATCCCAAGGGCATCTTCCTGGAGACAGACCTGTTCAAGAAGCTGGTGGATAATGGCCCAAGCTGGTCAGCCTTCTTGCTCAGCAACGTGACTAGCGACAGCGATGTTATCTGTGTCGGGCTCTGCAACAACTCCCAGATAACAAGCTCCACCAACATCACCGTGTACCGTGAGTGGACAGGCGATGGGCAGTGGGTGGCAGGTGGGCAGTGAGTTTGCAGGAATGGACCAGGACTCTGACCCAGGGCTGGACCTGGATGTATGCATGTGTGTGTGAGACAGAGACAGAGAGAGAGAGAAACAGAGAGACAGACACAGAGATAAAAAGATAGATGCCTTTTCTAGGGCAGCAGTTGTGAAAGCTATTTGAGTCCCAACAAACATTTTTTTTTTTTTAATTGTGGTTTGGGTGAAAGCAAATGCATTTTCCATACAGCCGTTCATACACACCTTGTCTCATGGCATTGACTGTAATTCCCCACAGTGTAACAGCTCTCTTCTCACTTCTTCCCCATAGTTACCTCTTCCCTGTGTCTTTCCCTCCCAGGCACTCCTGCCCCCTAGCTGTCTCCCTGTGCATACACTGCCCTTCTGTCATCCCATGATTGATCACTGATCGCTTTAAGGAGTGTATCTACCTGATGTAAATGTTCGCCCTATATGCCTGTCTATTGTTTGGCTGGAAGCCACAGGAGTTCAATTCCAGACCTGAAGGGTAACTAGGGGCCGTAGTCTCAGGGGTCTCACCAGGCTGTCAGACCAGTAAACGTTTTTTTTTAATGACTTTGAATTTTGTTTTATTTTATGATTTCTGTTCTCCCACTCTACCCAGGAGTGGTTGACAGTGGTAGCCGGGCACCATCTGGTTCTGGTCTTATGGTCACATAGGCTGAGGAGTGCACGGTCCACTAGTCCCTTAGACTAATTGTTTCCATGTGTCTTTGGTTTTCTTTGTTCTTTTCTGCTCTGGATGAGGAGAGACCCATTGTTGCATCTAAATGCCCACTCCAACAAGCATTTTTTTTTTTTTTTTTTT